TATGGCCAATATCCAGAACGAGGGTAATTTATTAGCCTCGTTCTGGATATTAACTTTAGCCGATTTTGATAAAGTTAACAGTCATCGATGGTTATGACCCTCCGCATTAAATACTGAAAACAAAGGCTTTATTCTTGCAGCGAAAGAGCAGAGTCTTTTCATTAGGAACTTTCAGGCAAATTTACATAATAGTGTGGATTTAAAAGGCACTTACTTTAACAGATATCAAGAAAGCATAGACCATCTAATGAATGTATGATCTGTACTTGCACCAAATTAATATAAAAATCGTCACGATAGTGTGGGGCTGTATTTACATTGGGTAACGTGCAAAAACTTTGGAAAAGACGTCAGCAAAAACTAATATGAAAATCACCCAGCGTCGGTTACAGAAACATAAGCCATCATAATTCTATGGGATTACACCATTTTTACAGACGGGAAGATTGAAATAAAAATCCCGGACAAAAATCGAAAAGAAAAAACGTGTCTACTAATTGATATGGCTTGCCCAGCGGACTGTGACATAACAGCCAAGGACTTTGGAAAACTATCGAAGCATACAAATCTGGAAATCGAAACAGAAAAAAAAATGTGGAAATTGACCTGAATAGTATCAGTCATAGGACATGCACTTGGAATGCTAAAAATAGGATCATAACAACACAATGAAAAAATGCCTGGAAATCCCAGCATAATCCTTTCAAGTACACATTCCCGTAATTGATGTATACAGCAAAAAATATTATTGTTCGTTTCAACAGACATATGTAAATAACTTTGACTTAGAAAAATAATATTATTGAATGTATTATTATAAATATAGCATTGAGACACTATATCTGTTTAATTTATATCAATGCGTTTTGAGAACAGTTATGTCCTGCAGGACATGTTGAAAGCATCTGAGGGACACATATGTGTCCCAGGGCACTCGAAAGGGTTAAGAAAAATACAAAAAAAACTGTCTTGTTATTCACAGCCCACACAGTAAGAACGACTTTTCTATGTAAGTTTTCTATGTAACTATAGGAGTTAGAAAAAAACAAATCATGAATTGTAGCCATAACAGCACACCACTACTTTTCATAGGTCTTCCAGCACTCTTTGTTGGTAGTTTGAGCATAGCAGAAATCGAAATATGATGATAATAATAATAATAATAATAATAATAATAATAATAATAATAATGACAACAACAACAACAAAATTAATTAAACTAGAAATAATTTCAGAATAGATATACTTTTGTTCATGATAAATGAGATAGTGGAAAGAAGTGAGTAGTAGAATGATACAGTAATTGTGGACTATATCATCTTTTGGCTTTCAGTGTCCTAATTGGTTAAGCCGAAATAAAAGATGATCTATTAAATTGTGGGCGGGGGAGGGGGTGGCGGGAGTTAGAAGAAAGCCAGTAACTGAACCTCGATCTGACGTCGTTTTACTTGCTCCCCTCTATTAACTTTTATTTTCTGATTAAAAAAAAAAAAAAAAAACCCCAAAAAACAATAGTTTCAAAAAACTAATAAAAAGGCAAGAATAGTGAAATTGCTTAATTGAAAAATGTCAAAATTTATTAATAGCTTATGTGGCGACACTCGCTGTAATAGTGTTTTTGATTACCCTTATTACTATAATATAGTGATCACTATACTCTTGTGATAATCTCTAATTGCAATTATATCTCACTAAGTGCGGACCAATGATGAGAAAACTAAGTTTTATAATCATTGTTTCTATAATGAGTGAACCACACATGGAACTGTGTCCCGTATTCTGAATGTTAGATATTTCACTAATATTGAAATGCCCGTCTAAACATATTTCTTAAATTCCGATTTTGAGCTATTCAATCATTCTTGAATGACTGATTCTTCTATCATGGTTTAGCAAGCCAGAAACTATTTTTAGATCGTAAGAATTCTGGTGGGAGATAATAATGGTTTAGAGATAGAAGTCTTACTAATTAACCCATAGCTGGGGGAGAAGAGTTGCATTCTTACTTTTACCAAATGTATTTGCGCGTAAGTGAAAATAATGAATCCAACCGAAATTGGATCTTGGCTCTCCGAGTAACAATTTCTAGCCATTACACCACCCGCGTATTTTTCAGCACCGGGTCTTTTTAAACGGTCACCCACCTATGTACTGACCAGGCTCGACGTTGCTTAACTTGGTGATCACATGGGGACAAGTGTTTCAACGTATTGTGGGTGTAAGTCTAATCTTTCGAAGAGTTTATCGACCCAGATCCGTGTGGTAAATAGCAGCAAATAAGATGAATCTAAAATAAATTTGCTAGTCAGTTGCCTGATATTTCCCGGGGAGTGAAGCACAGTGATTTCCTGCTCATAATCGGATGTATTTGGGGGTATCATGGGTTGGTGACACAAGGGTTCTCCAGTATATGTCTATATTTCTGAGATAAAATATTATGTACACTATTTATTACAACTTTTCGGCCGTTGTACACTCCGGCCTTCTTTCGGCCATCTTCAGGTGGTTGAACTGGGCCCTTTATTTCGCTCATTGGGGTAGACTGTTCCACGTGCCATGTTTAATGGATGTCAGTTATCTTCTGCTAATTCCCTTCTCCATGTCCTCCACTGCGGGTATTGAACTCACATTTCCTGTCACTGGATCTAACCAACGCCTTTATCCACTGTGCCATGTGTCCTTGACGGCATCTGTGTATGAATTTCTGGGTAATATAAACCTAATGTCTTCAGCAATCATTTTTTACCAGTGCTCATATTGCAATTTTTGCTGTTATCATTTATGTTTTTACCAGAGCTCATATTGCAATTTTTTTCGGATTGATTGGAAAAGATTCCAGTAGACTAATTGAAGCTCATGGCTTAATGAAATACAAAAAATTGATCTCACGAGTACAGCCCAATCCTAATAAATGGATTTATCTATGTAATTTCTTTTTTTGTCAGTGGAAAATGTCATGATGCCATTTCTAACCTTTGGTCTCTGGGCGGGATCCGGAACGAAATGTGTACACACCAGAAAACAAAGGAAATAATAATAATAATAATAATAATAATAATAATAATAATAATAATAATGCAATGATGCTTTATCTGGCATGGCTCTCATGGCTTATGATCTCAACGGATTGGCTATGTTAAAATTCACCGTATATATTCATGTAACACGCGAGCTCGCGTATCGTGCCACCCCCAAGTTTTCACTTATAAAAAATGATTTCCTCATGTATCTCGTGTACCATGCTAGTTCCGTTTTTGAGAAACCAAATTACAATAGACTAACTTCTTTTTCTCTATCACTTTATTCCATCTTCTAGTTAAATAAGTTAAAAAAATAAAAGAGAATGATAAAAGTATCGTTAGTAATGCTATACTCGTTGCTTAAACGCGTCCAGCCATAAACATTGGAACGAGAAACAGCTAAACATCTTATAAACGTAAATAATGGAAAAGATACATATTCGCTATGTTTGTATTTTATAATTCGACACTAATATTATTATTGGATACAGTTAAGTAAAACATCAGTTTCATCAAAATCATGTTTATTTTAAATACAGCTGTACTTTTTTATTACAGTTAATAAATATAGAGTTTGGTCAACGGCCTTCCCAGGGCCAGCAATCTTCTTCTGTTATGTGGCATGTCCCTTCAGGATGTAGGCGATCATGGCTCTCCACTTCCTCCTAATTTTTTGTTTTTCTGCTGCTTCTCCCAGCCCATGTTCTGGCATCCACTTGCGTAAGCCAGCTAAGTATGTCACTCGTTGCTTTACCTTGACCCTCTTTCCCTATTTCCTTCTATCCTCCCCGTGAGTATCAGATTTTCCAAACCTTCCTTTCTCATTGCAGGTCGCAGAAATTTTAGCTGCCTCTTCCTGATGTTAAGCACCAGTTTCCTCTTTGTTTGCATCCTCTCCAAAACCTCATCGTTGTTCACTTGTTCGATCCATGGTAACCTTAGCATATATATCGTGTATGATGCGACCCTCTTAAAATTAGCTTCCAAATGAGGTCTTCAAATGTCGGATGATACGCGAGTATATACGGTACATGTTTTATTTTGTTGAGTAATCTGGGTTTCAGTAAATATCTTGTTGAGCACCGCAGATTTGTTTGTCAGTTCGAAATTAAATTTTATCGTGATTTCTGACGATGAGTTAAAGCACAGGGAAAAGTCAGTAAATGCCTCTTTCATGAACATAATACATTGCCAAAAATAAAACTGATTTAGCTGGAAATCGAACGCCGATCGAAGATTCTGTTTGTTTTGATCTTCTATGTAAGCGTTACGCCAGACACAAACAGACCCACACACATAGAGTAACACGCAAAATTACACAGACACAGTCACACTTATAATCACAAACATTTATAGAAGTGGGTACACATAGACACACATAGAAACAAACACCCCTACGCGCACAGTGACGCAGAAACACATAAATATGCGTAAAAAGTTACACAAAAACATACATACAAGCGCAAAGGTACATGCAAAAGTGGACACACGCAGACGCACAAAGAAACACATATACACACACATAGACACACAAAAATGCACAGGAACACGCATAGACACACACATACACATAGTCGAAAACAGGCATGCAAACACATACAGTCGTCGTCACACAGGGAGGTGCAAACACTCACACACATGGTTACACACAAAGACACACAAATACAAACTGATCCATAAACATACACACAAACCCATTAGCATACACAGAAAGCGTCTTAAAAATACACACACAGAGAACCACAAATGCACATAGATACACTCTGAGATAGATAAGCGGACACATTTACAGATGTGATTACACACAAAGACACACAAATGTAGATTGAGTCATTGACACAGGTACATCCAACAGCGCACATAGAAAGAAATCTTAAAGACACACACATAGAGAAACACAAGCAGAGACACAGACACAGCGTCCCAATTGGGCACGTATTGAAATACACTTGATGGGGAGCAGACTTCTCCTAGACGCAATTATTTTGATGGAGAGAGGAATTTTAGAAAATAAATTGATGGAGAAGGCAAGAAAAGTGCTGGCGACCATTTGGGATGGGTGAGAAATAACGAGAAAGAAACTAGTGGGGAGCAATAACGAGAAAGGCTTAAAGGAAAGAAATAAACATTAGGATTGGAGAAGAAAGGGGAGAAAAATAAATGGAGGCGTGGTGGCGACGGGTGGGTACGAGTAGACGAAGAGGAGGGGTTGCAGAATGGACGGTGAAATGGAAGGTGTACGTTAAGAACCAGCAAAACAAGGAATAATGAGGAAAGCGAATAGGTTGGAAGAGGAGGAGGAGGGTTCAAATACTGTGCGCGGCGTTTGTCAAGAAGAAAAGCGCGGACTCGCCGAACAGGACGTAAATATCCGTTTGTCTCATCAGGCTCTGCCCTGGACAAGATCAGGCAGCGGCTAGGCAGCTGCTACGGCTCGAATGACACATTCCTAATTAACCGAGTTTTTCCTCTCGCGTTCTCTTGGTCATAATTCATTCAGTCTATGTCTGTGCATTTCTTTCCTTCACCTGATGTGCTGATATTATTCACAAATCGTCATTTCGGCATACTCCATGTTTAGTGTTCATTAACTGACCTCTTACTCTTCCCTTTGGTTTCTTTTCCTTTTTCTCTCCATGCCTATGTTGTCGTCCGTAATAAGTTTTATATATTGGTCGTGATGTCTTTCTCTGTATTTCCCTCCATGTATTAGATTCCTGCTTTACAATGTCTGTCATATTTCTTGCCCCTTCTTTCTTCTTCTTAGTTTAGAAAGACGATCACTTCTACGTCCTCACCCTCCTTGTTGTTCTTCTCTTCTAATCCTTCTACTTATCCATAACCTCCTTGTTCTCTTTAACCGTGGTATTAATGCAATGTATTTACATCCTTTATTACTACTACTACTACTACTACTACTACTACTACTACTACTACTAAAATATGTATGTCTTTTGTTTGTTTTCTCTCTCCCATAAATATCGCCATTTATTTTTTCTCGTTTCCCCATTCTTCAACACTTAACAATAATTCTATTGTTTTCTTTTTTCTCTTAGTATTTTTGCGGCTATCATTATTATTATTATTATTACATTCATTTTAATTACATCTTTTCCTTCTACAACTATATATATATATATATATATATATATATATATATATATATATATATATATATCTTTTAAGATTCCGCATTTATTACACTTCCGCAGTGGGCCCGCAAAACTGCACAAGACAAATTTTTTTCACACCAGTCACAGGAGAAAAGAAGCTCCGGTTTACAGTTTTGACCTTTTCTCTGCCTTTGTCTGGAAGACAATATATCTTCATATGTAAATATATCTATCGAAATTTGAGCCTAGCACATACTTGTTGATTCATGGAAGAACTTAAAATAAAGCCTTACTGGTACAGTTTATAACTTCATTATCGATTTCTAATGATCCAACAGAATTCTGTTCAAAACTTATTACATTCATTTTAATTACTTCTTTTTCTTCTACAACTATATATATATATATATATATATATATATATATATCTTTTAAGTGCCTTTTCCCCTATTTGCAGTTTTTTCCTCCTTTTTCCTATCTCTTTTTTATCAAACGTTTTGGTATTGACAAGCTCCAGAGAATTTCTCGAGGAGCGAAATGGCCATCTAAATAGGCTACAATTGAATTTCTTTCATATGTAATTCATTTATATGCTCTGTAATAAACACACCGAGCTCTCTTTCGTGAAACAGTTTTAATATTTTATATTATTAGGATTCATTTGGATTACTTACCTATGGATTTTTTACATATATATATATATATATATATATATATATATATATATATATATATATATATTCAGGGAAGTGCCATCTATGTCGGCAAGAAATAGGTCTGAAGATAATCCTTACCAAAACTGAAAACTATGATCTGGAATTGGAATGAAAACAATGATGACATTTACCCTGAATCCGTAGGATCTGGAATTAATAAATACGAAACGCAAGTATGAGCAAATAGAAAAGCTTTCTAGGATGAAAACAATATGAAAATATAAAAATACCATAGTAAAAAAATACCACCAATACATTTCCATAGTAAAAAAATACCAGCAATACATTTCCATAGTAAAAAAATACCAGCAATACATTTCCATAGTAAAAAATACCAGCAATACATTTTTGTAAAGAAAATTATTAATGATTCAAAGAAAATTAAATTTCAGCATTAAATAACCCATAAAGTGTTGATATGCCGTCAAACAAACAAAACTAACAAAGTGTTTAATTCTTTCCGAAAGTTTTAAAAGAAATCAAAAGTTCAAATAAATTAATATGTCGAACAGTATTTTGTTTAATAATATGTTGTATTATAAGGAAGAAAAATATCTTTCGGGCGGTAATTCGAAAAAAAGTATTGACATTTTAGATCCATAGTGTTAATAAAACCATGTTATCAAGGGAATTCAGATGTTGTTAGGTGGTGATAAAATACATGAATCTCAGAAGGCTTAAATAGATTCGCCAACGGATCGGGAGGTGCCGGTATGATACAGAGAACTCGAATTCTGCTTTTATTTCTGTTAATTTTTTTTTTCTGTACTTTAAGGTTTAACTCGTTTTTCCCCCTCACTCTTTCCCACCGCAAATCTACTTAGTATCTCTTCACTGAAAAAGAGTTCTTCTCTCTCTGCCATTACGTTCAAAACAGACAAAAAGCAAAACAAAATGAAGATAGATTGCCCCTTCACTTTCTCCGTCCAAATGACGTGAGTCAAGCGAGATGTAAGAAAGTAGAAAAATTCCTCATGCTCTCCAACCATTCGTCTCTTTGTACGTAGTTCTTTCATCTCGCGATCCCCCAGTGTTGTGCAGACCTACGCCGACCGCGACCCTAACCCCTTGAACGAACCCTGCCCCCGTCAACTCATCCACAAATCCTTGTCTTGGCATCGACCAACCAACAAGAGTCAGGATCAAAACAAAAGAGGCGGTAATGCATATGGACAGACGTGTAAAGGCCACCAATCCTAATTTCCATGTGGAATGTGGTCATTAATGAGACCAAAGTAAAAAATTTGTCTGGGTTTTCGCTTATAGGAATCCGTATCAGAGCAGGCAATTACTGGCTAAACTGATTGAAAAAAAAATATTTAGTTAAAACCACAAAGTTAAATATATCATGTGATAGTAATGATACCAGGATTTGCCCAGATGACGCGCCTTTTTTTTTTATCCGAACGCGCTATGTAATCGTTTCTTTGGGGTAGGGTGGTAATGTGTGTATTAGCAAAATTGTATTTAAAGCAGTTAGATAATTTTATTTATTGACTGATTTGTTATTTTATGGCTTATTATCTAGATATTTAAATCAATTTCTTACGGCTTATCAACCAGATATTTAAATCGATTTTTACGACTTATCAGTCAGATATTTATATAAATTTTTACGGCTTATCAACTAGATATTTAAATCAATTTCTCACGGCTTATCAACCAGATATGTTTATCAATTTTTTACGGCTTATCAACCAGATATTTAAATAAATTTCCTACGTCTTATCAACAAGATATCTAAATCAATTTTTAACGGCTTATCAACCAGATATTTAAATTAATTTTTAACGGCTTATCAACCAGATATTTAAATCAATTTTTTACGGCTTATCAACTAGATATTTAAATCAATTTCTTACGGCTTATCAACCAGATATTTTAAATCAATTTTTACGGCATATCAATCAGATATTGAAATATTTTTGACATAATAAGGAGTTATTGATAAAGTACTGCTAATTAACCTGTAGCAGAAGGGAGAAGCGGTGGATCCATACCATTTCCAAGCGTATTTGTGCCTAAGTGAATATAAAGAAACCGACTGGAATTGGAACTCAGCTCTTCGATTTCAATTTCGAACAATTACACAACACATCCAAACTTAGAGCACCTGGTATTCCAAAGAGGTTACCCATCTAGTTACCGAGCAGTTGTTTAAGGTCATATGGCCGTGATATGCTGCTTAACGTGATGCTTATTTTTTCATCAACACCACGATATAATATATTAATTTATAATATTAATAAGTTTTTTCAAAATATAATATTATTTCTTTCTTTTTGTACATGTCATAATTGGCCTGAATCCTTGACTGTGGTCGAAATGCATATGTCGTTCAGGAAAGAAGATGATTTTATCTGAAGTATTACATAATTTAATTATAACCAAAGGCTAACAATAATGATAGAAAGTCTATAAAGATATACCTCACCCTACGTCATTAATTGGTCCCAGAAGTCAAGACTTAGGTCGAAAAATGATTTAAGTCAAACTAACCACACTATAAAGCGCAAATAAGCACTCCCCATTACCTATGACAGTATTTATGGTTTGTACGTACAGCATTCTGAATAACATAATTAATTTCCACCTTATCGTCCAGCGATATAGCGTTACGCTTAGCATTAGCACTTGCACTGGTACTTTTCTTCGGAAGAAATGTAGGCAAAATGTATTCTAAATCATAATTGAAATGTAATTGAAAGAACGTCAACAGCAGAGCACATATGTAAACCAGTCTGAAATCAAAATTGATGTTGGAGCAGAAAAATGCACGAGTGCCGCCTGTCGGCAGGAATTTGAAATATGAACATCTGCTAAACATAGATTATTATACTATTTTTTTTTTTTTTTGTGATTCTATGATATATATATATATATATATATATATATATATATATATATATATATATATATATATATATATATTCATTAATACGTATTTCATTAAATAATATAGACAAGTTTTGTCTATTTATTTTAAACAAAACCTTTCATATCGTCGGATAAGCTTAATAACATTATCATTGAAAGAGGAAAGAAAATCACCATGTTGATACATGTTTTATTCTAAATCGATTCTAAGCTTTCGGCTTTCATAAGCCATCATCAGAGATTAAAGGTGGTAATTTTGCAAGAATGATAGTTTGTTTGCATGGGAGATTGGTATGCCACGACAAAATCGTGCATATGAAACGCAGGAATTAAATATCACATTACAGTTCATAACATCACACTTGATCACGTGAGAGTGAATATGAAGAGAAGTGTTAAGCCGTTGGTATAAGCCAATATTGGCTTTATACCAATGACCCTTTATATAAACCAATATTGGATCGAAAGTACTTTGGGAATGGGAAATAATAGTAATTTCATCCGTGCGACTAGACAATCGAATACTTCAAGCCAGGATCAAAACCCCACCGATTTTGGTATCAGTTGGAGTTTCTACCAGCAAACCATCGTCGCTATATATATAACGCTTATATATAATTCGCCGTTTATGAGTCCGGCAGTGGCTCATGAAGCCCGCTATGGGTTGTAGATGATACATACACACTCGCACGTTGGTAGTGGCGATGGTAGTTGATTTTGG